CCTTGCATACCAATATTTTAGTTTTACTTTTTATTTATTTTCTTACAGTACTGATCTGTCAGTACCGCTTCCGTTTTATTTAAAGCTATCTCTAACTATTAATAAAAAATTTTCAATACAATGAGAACCACCCAAAGACGGATTATTGGTTTTATAAGAAAGAGAACTAAGAATTTGATTAAGTTGGAAATATTGTCGATATTGTAGCAATCCGAGAGAGAACCTGTTTAAAGGCAAAGTACCTTTTAGTAAATAAGAAGTCCTTGGCTTTTCGTCGTTTCCAAGTAGTCATTGAAAAAAGACATGGAATATGGAATAGAAAGTTCAATTTTCTATTCTGTTTTAGCATTTACATTTATAATAAAGAAAATGTGTTGCTTTGTATCCAGAAATGAATAAGGAGAAATCATTTCTATTGTAATGGCTTTATAAAATTGAAAAAGATTTCTTTCTCATTTTCTGTTCCTTTGAAAAATACAACGACTGTTATTCTAGAATTTTTAAATGAATTTGAAATTTTTGAATTTCGATAATAATATGGAGTGCCTTAAAAGAAATTCGCAGGTGCCAGCAAACATGAGTCGAATGAACATAATAAACATTAGAAACTGTTTTAGATATTCATTGATTAAATACAGTTACACTATTAGAATTTGAATATGCATTGAGGTTACTAGGCCTTCAAATTGACAGTCTTTGGTATCTATAAAAATGTTTATATTTGGTGCAACCATAACCATGGTATAATAGCGGTCCCCAAAACACCATGACTCCCTTTTATGTTACAATACAATTTTTGTTTCCAACTTTCCCTTAAAATGATTGTTTCCTCTTTATTTATTGAAACGCATATCCTGCTTTTACATTTCATTCAGAGTTGATTTTATTAGGTATTCGAAAGTAAAGGAATTTCAATTGGTGCTTTATTCAAATGTTATGAAAAACGAAGAAAATCTTATGAATAGTAAATAATGAAAGTATGAAGAGTTCATATTTCCCTAGACAAAAATTTTCAGTCTCTCTCCAGTCTCTCAGAGTCTTTTAGGGTCTTTTAGCGTCTCTGAGAGCGTCTCTCACAGACTTTCACAGTCTCACAGTTATTGCTTAGGTGTTTTTATGGATCTCTCACAGTCTCTGTATGAGACACTCGAACGATAAAATTGTTAATTCAAAGATTCGAGTCTCTCACAAGGCAACATTATTTACTGCATTTTGTTGATAATCTATTAAATTCAAATAGTTGTGTTTGGTTTTACAATAATTATTTATGTGAAAAGTCAAAAAGACTTTGTTGATAACGAAGTAATATTTCTAAAAATTCAAATAAGAAATTACATATGAAGTTTACTTTGTAGAAATTGTGGAAAGTTAGATACTAGAAAAAACTCTGTTGTTGTAGCTGATTGTAAATTATTCTTTAATTATACGGTCATTTGTTCATGTTCACTATCTCTGAAAGTCTTTCATAAATAAATTTATATTCACTGGCAGCATTTTTCAAATGATGATCTACTGCGTATCATCATTATCATCATCATCATCGTAAGCGCATCAGTCCTGGTTGGGCACGTACTTCCACTTTTTCATTTGGAACATGAAAAATGAATTTAAAGTAGAACACGTGCAGCGCGTATTATTTACCACATCTTCAATGACTAACCTTCGGAATGTTTTACTTTCCAATCTGCAGACATTCACTCGTCCTTTTTTGTTCTAATTACATTAAATTCTCGCCATTGTCACTTAGCTTCCGTAAGGTGTCGGATGATAGGAACGCAAACAATCAATTTTACTTTCAATGCATATACAGAGTGTTCCAAATGTCAGTACACTTATTATTCTAATGTGACTAGAAAACGTGCTCAAAAGAAGTCTAAACAATTAACGGTACGATACCAAACGTGCAAGAAAATACCATCTTCACCCTCCTCATATCCTATCCGAAATTTGTAGGTCGAAAGGTATAAAATAATTCATGCAGATGGGCTTTGTAAATGCAATAAAGAAAAGAAAATGATGTCTTTGGTATCCATTTCCGAAAAACAAGAGAAAAATGATTGGTTTTTGTTACTACTTAATTCTAGAGATAATTACCGAAAACAAATTGGTACAACTTGTCCTAGAATGTAGCGAATTATTGGAAATTTTGTATAAGGACAAAATTATCGTTAAATAATTAGTTATTCGAATACAGAAATGCATGTGTTTCATCTCTCGTTTAGAGGGTAAAAGGAAATAGTGAGTATAAGGTCGAGAGTGACACAGAAAGAACAGAGAAAAGGATTGTGGAAGCATATATGAGGTCTGTTCAAAAAGTATCGCGAATTTTGAATTTCTGCGGATTACGTATAGTTGATTTTCGATTTTTTTTGTGGCGTTATGTTGGTACTCATGTCTCTCACTTTTACCGATAAGTACGGACATGTTGAATGTTCAGTTAATTTTTGACAGCTGCTTTGCTTGAACATGTTTTCGCTTGTCTTCTATTTTTGTACAGAAATTCAGAAAATCAGATCAAAGAATCTGTACCAAATTTTGTGTGAAAAACAAAATTAAGTGCGCGGACGCATTGTGAATGTTGACTGACATATGGTGAAGCCACTTTGGCCCGAAGCAACGTTTATCGGTGGTACAAACGTTCTCAGAGTGCCGAGGAGATGCTCGACGCAGATAGACGAAAACGTTGATGTAGTAAAGAAAACAGCATTGGCCAATCGTCGAATTACCGTTAGAGAAGTTGCCGAGGACCTACACATATCGATTGACACCTGCCATTTGATTTTATCAATGATGTGGGCATGAGACGGGTCGCCTAGAAATTTGTACCAAAATTGCTCAATGTCGACCAAAACCAGCATCGCATTAATGATTTGCTCCAGAGAAAAAGACTGCAAAAAGCGCGCCATGTTAAGACAAATGTGAAGGATTTGCTGACAGTTTTCTTCGATTGCAGGGGCGTGGTGCATCATACGTTCTTTCCACAGGGTAGAACGGTCAATAAGAAATATTACCTGCAAGTTATTAGCAATTTGCGCGAAACAATCCGCCAGAAACGCCCTGATTTGTGGAAGAACAAAAATTGGCGTTTGCACCATGATAACGCCTCTGCTCACACATCGTTGCTTGTGCGAGAATTTTTAGTCAAAAACAACGACTAATAACGCTGCAGCCACCGTATTCCCCAGATTTGGCCCCTGTGACTTCCTCTTGTTCCTGAAACTGAAGAGGCCCGTGAGAGGACGACGCTACTTTACAATTGAGGCGATCAAAACGTCTTCGAAGGAGGAGCTGAACAAGATGACAAAAAATGATTTTTTGAAGTGCTTCGAGGATTAAAAAAAACGTTGGCACAAGTGTATAATATCTGATGAGGATTACTTTGAAGGGAAAAAATATATATTCATGAATAAATAAATAATTTTTGAAAATACAAAAATTTCGCAATACTTTTTGAACAGACCTCATATATGTAGTACCGAACGATTTATACTTTCCTTCTGTATGCCTAATATGCCTCTTAATACTGTGCTGTCCCTCTCTCCTTCCTTCGTATTACCTACTTTTGTTTGAAATGAAAGCATTTAAATATCCAACTATCGCTAGGAAACAGAGACATAATTTTTGTATATATACAGGATGTTGTATACCATTTCAACAATATAATAGGTGCATGTCAATTAATTATTTGTGAAGTTATATTCTCTAGAGGCACTGGGATGTAAAGTTCAGAAAAGTACAAGCCTCTAAAATTAATAGGAAACATCCCGTAATTCCTTGATTATCCTTTACAACTTGATAAATCAGAACATTTAATTTTGTTTGCTTTAACTTCATTTTTGGATTCAGCAACCATTTGAAAGAGGTAAATTGTGTGGAAATTTCAAATTTATCTTTATTAATATGCGTAATTCAAATCGCATAAAGTACCTACGCATTCTTTTGCTTTGAAAAAAAAAATGATAAAAATACATCTCATCTTTTACCGCCGTTACAACTCGCGATTAGAATAAGTAATGCTAATTTCGGTTAATTTCTGCCAGCGATTATTAACTCTTTCAAGGCAGGATATAGAAATCATTTTCATGCAATTACACTTGAAAATGAAATAAATCCAGCTCAATTAATTACAGTTCCGCAATTGATGTAATAAAAACGTTAAACGTAGCAGACAACTAAAGTTAAAATTTTATTAGTATTCACAGCATGTCGCAAAGGTGTGATTAATTGTTAATTTTAAATAATTTACTACATTTTTTAATTATGCAAGTGACTAGAATGAATATTTGAATATTCTAACTGAAACAAATTAAAATAAACAATTTTGATGATGAATGACTATACATATATATTTTTATTATAAATGTAATATTATTTTCTTGTAAAAAATTTCAGGACCAAAACATATTTAGCAAATTTTCATTACACTATCACAAAAGAAAGTAATAAAAACTGTAATCTAATGTCCAATAAACAAGGTACTAATTCTGTACAATACAGAAAAGTTAAAATTAAAGCTTATTTTACCGAAATAGTATAAGATATCTCAAAAGCATTAAATTGATTTAATTGGACTTATATTAGACATTTTATTATTTATATAAAAAGAAAGCTGAAAGTATTTGTAGGAGTTTTCCTATACCACGTTATATTTTTCAAAAGATAATGCCATACTGGAAAATTACAGCTATATTGCTGACAGATGTTTTAACTGCAAAGAAATATTTGCAAAGCCGTAAAAATTCCATTCCATTTTGGTATCTGGCTTCGGAAATTTAAATTGAACGTAAAAAATATTTTTGCAGCTGCCGAGACCGGAAAAAGTTCGTTCATGGCTGGCTTCGGAATGGGCTTTCTCGCTTTCGCTCTCAAGAAGCTGCTTCTGCCTTTAGTGTTCGGAGCGCAAGTCATCAAGTCCCTTTTAATTATCTTGTTCCTGCCATCTCTTGTGGGAAGTTTAGGGAAATTATTAGGAAAGGGCCTTTCAACCGTATCGGGTATATCAGGAGCATCAGGCCTCGGACAGCACACTAACAATCAAGTTATCGAGGAATTTGAATTTAAGGATACGGATCCGTATGCAAATGATGCAACTAATTTACAAGATGTGAATAGCTTAGACAACTCCTATGGAGCTTCAAGTGACACGAGTTCGAGCACTATTTCAACGCCTACTGCTGCTAATAGGTTTGTATGTTACATATATCCTTAAACATTAATATCGATGAAAATTAGAAATTAAGTTGAATCTATTAGATAATAAAGAGGCTAACACTAACTGTAAGTATATCTATCAGGATTGAAAGAGAGTTTATTTCCTATTTTAGAATAATGTTTATATGAAAACAGAAATAAGTGCGGAGCTTTGGAATTATGGTGAGTTCAGTAGCGTGATTAAGGTCAAAAATTCTTTTTAAGAATTTTCAATTCAAAGTCGGTCGTTCACGTGAATTGGGAACGCAGGTGTACACCAAATAGCCAACTATGATAAAGCCTCTGCAGCTACAACGATGGACAATGTAAACAGTGCGCTAACGAACGTCTAAGATAAACAAACATTTTACTATGACGTTGTTTAATAAGTCGCCCATTACTATAAAAATGAATTAAATAAATACATTTTTCTATTACTGATAGCATGTATCATTATGTAAATTGCACTTCAACATTAGTAGGTAAATGTGTATCACCTGGGGAAAGATAATTTTATTAAGGCAAATTTCCACACCACTAGCAAGATACTGCCAGATCCGTAACCTTTTTTTGTGGATGGTTCGCAAATAGCCCTATCATCCCCACAGAAAAAATCAATTGTTTATTGATTTTTGCTTATAGGTAAGCGAACTTATAGGCTTTGAGACGTTTACCAAATTTTTAAGTCGTCCAAACGCGTTGGGCAATTCGCGTATTTTATTCGCAGCGATCATCGCATGGTTGTGCACTGGGTGCGCACACTTTTTCATAAAACCTCATACAAATCAGTCCGATTTATTTAGATCTAGATCCGGAGTACACATCGATAGGTATAGCGTCCCTACAAATCTCGTGGCTGAAAAATAGTTTCAAGTAAAGCTTTCAAATTATAAAGATGGAGCAACTGTCCTTTTGTCATCCTGTCAATGGTCCTCGATATTTCGCGTGTACTAATTTGGGGGTTGATTTTTATGAAATCAAGGTTTTCGTTCTCTACAGTGGCGATATGCTTCAAATCCCTAAATAAGTAACATGTTACATCATTGTAACAGCAACAGTTCTGTAGTGTTACTTTAATTGCTTTGTCTGCTCATCGATTGACATAATACAATTAAATACACGGTTTAAGTGTTAAAAGAACATGTTAGCGGTAACATAAACATCTTGAATCACACTTACTCTAAACTAACAAATAATTAACAATACATACAAAAGAAAGACAACACTAATGCTGAATTAGCAGCATTGTCGTATTTCTTTATCAGAGCCGGAATTATAATTGTCTTTACTTTTAACAACGTTTTTCTTGAAAATTGGAAACTTTCGGAAATACAAGTATTTACTTACCTAAATCTTTTGTTTTATAGTGTCTCATCACCTCCTGGAAGTTCCGAACTTTTTTCAATTACACCTTGCATGTGTATTAAACACAATATTAAACAAATTGAAGTAATAGGTATGCCTCAATCACAAAATCAGTATGCATTTTTTGTATTAGATATCTTTAATTACTTCTTTACTTTATTCGGTAATTGGCGCAACAGATTTCTGAACGTGTTTCCTCTATGATACTATTCATCATTTGTTTTCATTTATATGTCTAATTATTAATAAAAATTAGTTTATTTGATAATAGACGTTTCTGTTGTAAGTCAAACACCTGCCACGTGCATTACAAAAATACTATTAATATAATGATTTCTGTTTGGATTCTTTTACGGTAATAAAAATCGGTAAATTAAATTATAATTATAGATACCATTTAAATACCTAGCAAATGATCTTATTTTTGAATGCTTGATGATAAATTTAATTACTGTAATTGATGCCCATTTAATGAAGCATAGTATTCCGCACTTGCTACAGTCAATTTAGCAATATTAAACTGTTATACGTTTGATAAACTTTAACTTGCGACTGAAAATGACAGAGATTTTGTATTACGTGTACACTATCAACGCGTTTCAAAGTTTTATGCCTATCTTGTTCGACAATACAATTTAGTTTCTGAAATTACACTTAAATGTTAGTTTTTCTGCTTGCTTGCTTGATCGTGAATTAGCCCCAGCAATACAAGACACAAACGAAAAGATTATCTTATTTTTCACCAAGAACTCAGTTTCATTTTATCTCGATATTCCGGAGAAATCGCGTGAAAAAGTGTCACAAAATGGGTGGAAAATGTGAAATGAGGACTCGTGGACAGAAATGTCTTCTTTTTTAGGTGTTTCTCATAATGTGGGTTGTTCATTGAGAATATAAAGAAAGAAGTTCTTTTAAAACAGAATCAATTAATGAAAATGCTGTTCCAAGGTTAATGTTAAAGGCTTCAAAAAAGTAAAAGTTAGAAATAAATATTGGAAATATCATCTCTCAAAATTTAATTAACTTCTCGCAAACTCAGTAGTATTTTCTTTAATTAAACTAGAAATTAATCAGTAGCCATCAGAAATTTGAATGGTCTATTTATATATATACGATGGTCATTTCAAGTGGCTATTAATGCTGTTTCAGTTTTCTGAAGCATTACCTATACCTTAATCCATAACTTTCCGAGATATTCGTCGTTTTGAAATTAATAATTTCATTTTTATAGATAGAGTTATAGTTTATCTCATGTTCAGATATTATCAAGGCAAAAATTAGTCAATTTGAATAGATAGGTGGTTTTAATATAAAATCGTCAAAAATAGTTGATTTAATAATAACAAACGAATTATAATCTGTTCATTATTTACGAAAATTAAGACAACAAATAGAATCGTCTATCCTTAAATCGCTGTCAAAACGAATAACTACACTTAGGTCCCTTAAGTTGCTATTTGTCCCATTGATCTATCACTAGTTTTGTTTGGGCTAAAGACCATTATCAGTAGCAAACTGTTTTATTTTCAAACTCTATTTCTTTTTAAATGCATAATAGCGAGTCTATTCAATAAAAACCCGTACCGTAATAAACAGGGTATATCTGAAATAAGTAGCAAGCTTGCAAGAAGTAATAGGGCACGATAAAACAAGAAAATTACGGTCCAAAGTGCAAAAAAGGGCCAGTCCGACCCTGTTGTAATCATGCTGGGAAATACGATACTCCAACGCCGCATTCGATAAGCTGCTTATTAGCAACATCCGTGTTGTATCTTATTTGTTAGATTAGATTAAGTGTGATTGACGAAGCTTATGTTACAGTAAGCCTAAAGTAATTCTTTGTTCTTTTAACGTTGTAGGTTTGTATGCATGTGGGTAGTCGAAGCCATTGACAGTGTGTTAGTGTCGTAGGTCAGTGCAAACTAGTATTATTGCATTGACCAATGCGTGAGTTTCTAGTCGAACAGTTTCCTAGATGCTTTACCTTGGCTAACTCATACTCCTGATCTAATTCCGCTTGATATTTTTGTATAGGGTTGTATGAAACAGCGCGTGTATTAAGCGCCACTGCAGAACGCTGTTGACCGTGTACGATCGCTGCAAGTGATGTACGCCAAATGCTGGACGTTTTCGGGTGACTTAGGAATAACTCTTCTAGTGTACGTTAGTATGCTGTGTGAGAGTGTGTGCATGCTTCAACTGATATATTATTTAATAATTTTTTAAGGGTATGTTAGGGCTATTGACGAGCCATCAAGGAAAAAGGTAACGCACCTTGACAATACCTCAATAGTGGTTTGGAAATTAAATAAAATTACAATTACCTATCCAGAAGATATTAATTCGCCTATTAATGTTTACGTAAAGTTACTTTTTTCCTTTCTTTTGTGTTATTAATACCATGTCGAGGTGTACTTTAAATAGTACTGCATATCATCAGTGGTGAACAAAGTAGTTATTTAATTAATTTTGATCGCAATAAAGGGTTAAACATTATTATTATAGTAGCGTAGCAATAAGGTGTTGACATATATTTTATAAGTGTTCTACAACTTTTCTGATTACATTCTCCATCGATGTGGCTGCTTAATGACCATCGTAACTTCTTTGTACTTTGTCAATTTTTTACCAACATTAGATTGTAACTTCTTCTGGTTTTCTTACAAATTTTTATTCCTTCAACCACGCACCTTTACTCATCGTCATCAAAGCCACCCAAAACGTGCCACTTACTTCACAAACGTCCTGTGTAAATAATATCTTCATGATTTACAAAAGCTAAGCGCTATTATCTTCTATCCATTTCTAATTGTTCCCATTGACAACACAGAGGCTTTATACTGTACTACTAGTGTGATTTGCCACTCTCGTAAAAAGTTAATCCAACTGTTGCAGTATGTTAAATGTAGGAAATAGTTTTATTTTGGGTGCCAGAAAAACCGTTAAATAAGAAGTCTCATAAAAATGACAAATAAATTTTATGTTTAAGGTTGGGAATAAATCAGCGAGTGGCTTATGTCCCTTACAGATCAGAGGACTATTACATGCGAATGCCGCCCAAGAAAACGGATTTCAAAGTATTCCACAAGATTCCGAGTTCAACTTTGTTACTGACGACTTACGACCCTTTTTATAGCCCGTTACTGTCCCGCCTGGATACCGTTTTCCAGCAATTGGGTCTTGGAAGCGACAAATCCCCAGAAACGGAAAAATGCAGAGAAAGGTTGGTCTGCATGATGTACGCTAATCCAGCCAAGTTTGCGCCATATAGTAACCTTGTTTCAGCACAACTTAGCAGGTAAGTTTAAGTCTTTAACTAGTAAGAACTGAGAACTCTCGGTCTTCATAAATAAAAACATCTTACATACATAATATGAACGATATCATTTATTTTAATTTGTATTACGTAGTGTAATTCTTGATTGGCCTAATTTGCCTAATTACTGCCCTTAATACAATTTCGTATACCATTGAACGAAACCCAGCTTCTCCCATTACATACAAGCATACGTACATGATTCGATAAATAATTAATATTCCACGTGGAAAGTAAAGTTAGAAATTAACTTCTCGCAAACT